TATTCTATGCCAATGCAAACAGCTTCTACGATGGTGTGCTCTCTTTGGCCAGCCAGCATTGCACCTTCTTGACGCCCGTTTCTTCCAACGACTTGCCCAAAGACAAGCCAGTTTCTACGCCCCTACCCGAGGTGCAAGGCCTTACAGGAACAGACGAGGAGCCATTTAGTCCTGACGGCCCAGATGCGACCCGATTGTTCGCGAAAGGAGAACCACCTCGACTCTCATTGATAGGCCATAACCTCGAGCAGCCAATCCAACAGACATCTCCAGGTCCCGATTCGCCCTTGGAAAACCTTGCTAACTTCTCCGATATTGCGGTAAAATGAGCCAGTCGGCCGGCTATTGCTGCTAAATTCATATTTTACTTTTGCCACTTTCAGGGCACAGTATATTGGCTCTAATTAAACGCGGCATACTTTGCTAGTGCTCCAAGAACTATTAGTCTAGCGGCTTTGTGCTGCTTCCTACCGAAGCTTCCATGTTGTTGCCATGGCTTGGTAATTATTCTTTTTCATTATTGGTACCGTAATTGATCGTAAATTCGACAACTCCCTCTTTCAAGAGATGAATTCGACCCTACTTGTTTTTAACATGTATATTCCTCTACTCTTGACGATGTAGAAGCTTTCTCTATTCCTTCTTCACTTATCCTTTTAAAAAACAGGGACGTGAGAATAAGTATCATATTGGTTTACTCCAAACAGTACCTCTTATTAAACTGAAGTTATCTTCATTCAGGTCTAGAGACCAATAGTATTTTAGGTAATAATTATTTGTTAGAACTTGTTTAATATTGTTTTCGCAACTTGGTCATATTGGTAGGAAAACTTAGAGGAGCACACCTAGTCTGGAGTCCATTGTATGCATGATCACTTCCAAAGTCTGACCGTGGACGTGGTACATTCCTAGACGTTTCGCCGGCATCGTAGTTGGCATCGCCAGTGAGTCACCATTCTTAGCACTACACGACAACTCGTCAAAGAGGCAAGTGAAGCCGATCCTTTGCTAAATGTGTGCTAAACAGTTGTTGTATTACCCCTTCTGTCCTGGGATATTCATATATCCCACATCCTCGGATCACCCCTTCAGTATCACAATTTTTTCTCTGCTTATTTTAATGTAGTGTGCCATTTTGAGCGGTTTTCATGGGAAACATTCACACTCGACACTGGCGTTCTCATCCCTCCTTCACCATTGTGCTGTGAATGTTGATCAGAGTCTGCTATATTGTTACGCAGTTCTCCTTCCCTATGTCTTATCAGAGTCTCCCTCTTGCCCTGTAGGTTCCGTCTGCTCTCTCCCTGGTTTAAGTATTTCTCTCGACCCCTACTTACAAATATTATGGTAATGTTTGCTTTGATTAGATTCAATGTTTAACCACAACGTTTGTGGGTTGGCACACAAGAAACTAGGGCATAGCAAGTCAGACTTGGTATTCGAGATAGAAACAGGATAGACGTGGCAGAGACTAGAGCTATTGGGCTGATCCATGAGGCAAAGACTCAGGTGCTTTAGCTTCGAATTAGTCACCCAGACCCAGAATGTAGGAAATAACGCCTCGTAGCGCACAGATGAGGTGGCAGGGTTCGAGTGAAATACTTGAATCAGAGAGAGAGAGAGAGAGTAGATGGATCCTACGGGGCAAGAGGGAGACTCTAATAAGATCTAGGGA